TAGAAAATTGTTTTGAACAAATACAACTAAGTGCTCATAATTCGCGGATCATACTGATGCATGGAAGCGTGACACTCGACCTTTTGATTAAAAGGGTTGCAGCGTGGGCCGCATATGTAGGGACGTAGTGGCAACAAAGGATGAGGTATTCGAAGTTAGGGCACTTTGTATGGGAGAATCTACCGTGACTGCAGATTCGCGCACGAATATCCGGGTAATATGTGCCATACATGTAACGTCACTCCTGCATAGCAACACTGATGTCACAGTTGAAGCTACGTGAAACACCAATTTTTAGTAAACAATTTTTGTAATTTTTCACGGTTTCCGTTTTTTCACAGATTCTGCATTATGCGGCAGATTTATTCATGGAAAAACCGATTTTGCTAGAATTTGATTTACCGCCTGATGGATTAGTGGTATTAGGTGATTTACACGGTAATATTTATTCATTACTGAGATCATTCGAGCGACACGGGTTACCGCCCAAAACCAATTATTTACTACTTGGTGAGTTTCATATTTGATTCGCAATGTTTGCAAAAGGCGAATTTTTCGTGTTAATTGCAAACAGCTTCTAAGACTCAGTACTCACTTCATGTAGTCTGTAAATACAAATATTGATAGGGAAGCGTGAATCTGCAGTTAGTGGGATACAAATAATGCGTTTTCGGACAAAGCAGGGAAGGGGAATTGCAACAAATGGTGATGTGCCTGATCAAAGTGCATTGTGCAGGTGATTATGTGGATCGCGGGCAGCATCAGCTTGAGCTGATTTTGTTATTGATATTGATGAAGCTTCGTTGGCCGAACAACATGATCATGTTGCGGGGAAACCACGAATGTATCGGCTTCATGAGCGACGATTACTTCCACGTGGTCACACATGGTGAATTCTTCGTTAAAGTGGTTCGTCATTCGCTGTCATTTGCACCAGCATGCTGTAGCATTTTTTACGCTAACAGCATCTGATCCTGAAGCACAGGTCGTCTGGGACCATTGGTTGCATGTCTCACATTTGGCCGTCCTTGACTACTCTTAAACCAGGCTTTTAAAGCTTTTTAAATTCTGTAGCACTAGGATTTATAATTATGATCACAGGCTCAGACTGATGCTTGCTGAGATACTATAGCATGCCGACTGCAGCGTGTCAATGCTTCCCAACCCTGATGCGTACCTCCAACTGCCACTTTTCGTAACCTTGGTACGAAATCCTTCGTTCATTAACTTATTACATGTCTGCAAAACTTCGGTTTTGCAGAATCCTTTGGGCGGCTTCTCCAGTTACTCCAGTCGTTTACCGGCCTAGAATGCATTGGCGCTAGTTCTGTTTCAAAGATCCTCGCACTGCGCTGCTTGTCCACAGATGCCTCAAAATTCGCAGTTGTATCAAAACATATTGTTCTGCTTGTTCCCAGTCAAGCGTTAGAATTATCCGAAATGTGAAATAACAAGGTAGGAAATAAAAAATCAGTCTAAGTATCATGTACAGGAGAATATGTCTGGAGGCAGCCTGTACCTTAGCTATAAACAAAATGCAGGCAGGAGTGAAGATCATCAGTACGGCTACCTACCCGCTACGTATATAGTGGGCATTTATCAGATCGCATAAGACTATAGCAGTGGTTCTTAAATTTTTCTCGCTGCGACTCGCTTTTAAGTGATTTTTGCCGCCACTGCCCAGCCAGATTTTATTGAGGACTTAAAACACTACACAGCACTAAAAATTTATGTCAGTTTTCTCTTGAACGTCTTCAAATTAATCTGTTAATGTACAGGCACTTATAATATTTTTATTGCGTGGATTCTGATTTAACTTAAAATGCCATCATTAACACTTTTCTCGCTCAAATGGCGTCTTCATGGTTCTTTAACGTTCTAAGAAAAGGTGAAAGGGCGTGAAATTTTGTTTCAGGAATCTCCAGCCACTTATTTTGAAATTGGGTAGCCCCTGGCAAGTGTTTTGTTTTTTAAATCGAAGTCTTCACAGACTATTTTCCGTGGAATCTTGTGCATGATGGAGCAACAGGGGAGGGAGAGGGAGAGAGAAGGGGGAGGGGAAGGGAGTTGCTTAATCCATCAATCGTTTTTTGTAAAATGCATTTAAAATAAATTTTGGAAAAACCCAGCACTCATGATAAAACAGCTGTCTTAAGCAGAAGCGAAGTAATTGCTCATAATTTTTGAATTGCGCTAGTCCGTGAAAACGTTGCAAAGATGACATCTTGGAAGATATCCAGCTGTGCTGCTTGCTATAATACTATTGAGGACAATTTCAGTGCCAAAATGAGCTTGCTTCGACGTTAAACATGTATTTTCTGTTCAATCAGATGTTCGATGTGATGCCCGTCGCAGCGGTCATTTCAGGTGAAAGTTCCAAATTTTTAGAACTACGTCCAGTTCAGATGTGAGATCACAGGCCAAACTCTTGATGCTAAAAAGTAAATTTTAAGCTATTCACCCTTTTGGGGACAGAATCCCCCGGTTCGAATATGTAGTTTATTCACCTTCGGCCTTTTTTTTCTGACACCACCAAGGAATTCTCAGCTGTTCACACGATGCCAGTGCAGCTTTTCACGCATTTTTCGCGTTAAAAAAAAGCACTGAGGCATGCGATTGAAACTTGCCATTCCAGCTATCCTGAGCATTGGCTGATCTAGGAGGGCTCCTGGGGAACGGTATCTTTTCTTTTTGTTCAATTGTTGAAAGTTAAGCCGTTCGCTTTGACAATTTTAGTTTCATCTTCTTACTGGGCCGTCAAAAATAGGATTTTCTGTATCATTTCAGGGCATTTTTTGTGCTGCCACGGTGGCGTCTCTCAGTGGATGACATGCCTCGAAAATATTCGGAATATACCGCGTCCCACATACGCAAGAAGGATGAAATTTCTGGAAGGTTGTCTGTTAGCAGATATCCTGTGGGCTGATCCTGAACCTGATACGGAAAGGTGACTTTCCCGATCAAATCGCTGAATCTTCATTAACAATAATAATTATTGTTGTGTTTGGGCAAATAATTTTTCGAAGACTGAGTTGCTCAATTTGATGACTTCTACCACAGGGCGTTCGCAGTATCGCAGCGTGGATGCGGCTACACATTCAATCGCCAAGGTCTCGCAGCAGTTCTGGAAGCACTTCATTTAACAACGCTGATAAGGGGGCATGAAATGTATGCCAATGGCACAGCACTTAATTTTGGCGATGAATCCTGCGTCACAGTTCACACTGCGCCTACCACTCTGTTCAACTGCAGTAAGCTAATATCATGAAATTTTTTTGTGTTGCAAGCCCTCCGATTCCTCTGATACATTCTACTCACGAATAGTTACTTCGGCAAGCTTTCATCCTTCTAATTCTAGGCTACGTTGGCTACCATTTTTAAAATGTAACAAATTCAGGAAAAGGCACTTTCGCTAGTTCCGATATTTAGAGCATTATAGTAGGCAACAAAGTGATCCAAATTATCTGAACTGCAGATATGCCAGGAGGCACGGAAATATTGGCAGCGAGATGTAGATTTACGCGAGAGAGCGTATAACAGTGTCCGGGTTTTTTTACAGTGAAGGTCGGAGTTGCGTGGGCTGTTCACAGTGAGGCCAAACATACGTCGAAGCACGGTGCAAAGAGAGCGCAAAGATTTATCACAGCGTTGAATAGAAAACATTTTCAAAATCCCTGCAGGTTTTTGTAACTTGGTTCAAAGATAATTTTACAGGCGCAACTTTAAAGCTGACCTCTGTTGATGGTGTTCATCAGTTCGAACAAATAACTGAAGAATTCGATTCAAATGCGTCACTCACTCCGCTGTGTCGAGCGATTACTGAACTGCTGATGAATAGTTTCAAGGAAAATGCATTCAAGGAGCGACTAAGGAGCGGATCTTGTCGATGGTGCCTGAATCGACCATCAGTTTACTTTCGTGATAGGTTTCTTTTTCTTCAAAGAGCGGCATCCTCAGCACGGCTTCATCACTTTGGTTACTCAGTGCGCAGCTTTGCCTCATTGTTCACTAGTATGCAAAAAGAAACTGTCCTGATTTAATGTCCAAGAAGCGAGCCAGACTTCCACACAGTGTTTCAAGTCCTTGTTATGAGTTTTTTGCATCCATACA